GTCATACATCATATTTCGTTCCGTGGAAAATTTTCACAACTAATTTTCATATGATTTAAAATTGAAAAGGTAAAAAATCGAAAGATGTTTGTACCACAACTTCTAAATAACACACAGTTATGAACCGTTGTCAGACGTTATTTCACTGTTGTTGATGTAAAGTTGATAGATAAATCCTAATTTCTTGTTACCACTACTTGTTGCTTTCACATAGCAAACATTTTGATCAATTTCAAAATGTGTCTTTGTACCGTTCTCCAAAAATTCGCCCTGAAATTTTCATCAAAAATTTAATGTTTTAAATGCACGATTTTGTTTTTGATCATACTTTGTCAAACTTCTTACATCGAAATTCACTATTTCAAATGTAAATAAGTGCTGATTTTTGGATCAATAATATGTTGTGACTATATGTGACAGACATCGAACACATCACTTTTTTGTTCTAATCTTATTCACGTCAAGATTTTTGTAAACATTTCTTTCCCAATTTGCGTTCTAGAAGAATCATTTAATTACACCATCTTTTTGATTACTGTAGATAATATTCATTGCTCTACATGTAATATCTAATACTTTTCAACTTAACTCCGTAAATTGTATGCATTGTAGTCAGTAGTCACTCCACAGACTCAGATATCAGTTGACCTTTAGCTATCAAACACTCAATAATTTTGGATAAGTTTTGTCTTATTTTTTGTAGTCAACGATGAATGATTTACTGCGAAATATTTTTGCACTCGTGTGTATAAAGCTTTGAAAAAAATTTCGTTTTTTATATGAAAAATTTCGCAGTTATTCTGGTTGATTAGCAATTGGAAGTTCTTGGCTGATAAAAAACAGGTAAGATGAGTGCAAGAATTAAAATGAGATGAGAAACATTTCAAGCCAGCTCTAAATATCAGAAGACAAATTCTAATACATTATTTTATTTCATTATTGAAAATAAAGCTTCAGTAAATAAACTATTTTGGTCTTAATTTTTGCTAATTTAGTTTTATATCCATATGTCGATGGAAACTCTCATTCAAAAATAAACACAAATTCAACTTTATTCATTTCCTAAACCACCAATCGATCGATTTCAGGATTGAATTCGTATAGCAAAGCAATGCATTACTTAAATTGGCTCAATTATAAATCATTTGTCGTGATGCAATCATTAACTCAGATGGCAAAATTTTGATTGCACCAACAACAGGAAAATGCTAGAAAAGACAAATGCATAATATTAAAATGTCTTGAAGTAAATTTACATATATATTTTCGTCCTAACAAACTTTTGCTTCATTGAAACTGCATGCAAATTTTTGCATTTTTGGAAAGACCATTTTTTGAGTTCATTATTTCCCATTTTTCTGTCCAGTAGGTTAGCAATTTAATAAATTCATTAACTTCTGTTCATTTAAGTAATAAATAATTGAGTGAAATTATAATTCAACGACCAGTTCTGTTTGTGATTTTGCTCGGATATTTGTAAATATCTCATACCAGAAATAATTGAAAATTGGAATGCATAACAACTATTCAGATAAATAATACATGAATGCTCGCCAATTTGGTACTCACTGCTTTCCAATGACTGTTTGGTTTTTGCGTATATCAGTTGCAATAACTATCATTTTAAAATTTGTCGTGTAATATTACTGCAATTTTTTCATTTATTTAAATGAAGTGTTGACTTATCAATTAATTAATCAATCAACGAATTATTTCATCAATCAATTAATTCTGTTGACAAATGAACATCTCAACACTTATTATTAAATGTGAAAAGTTCCGAAATAAAAAGAAAAAAAAATAAAACAAAGTAACTAGAACAATTGTATACGATGATTTTCACGATCGGAAACAACAATTGTGGTATCAATGAGTGCAACTGCTTCAACACCTTTAAGTTGTCCCGGCGCATTACCCCACGTACCAAAGCTATGCATATAACGACCATTCGGATAGAAAATTTGCACACGATTGTTACCACTGTCAGCTACGATGATGAAACCCTGAAAAAAAATATTTCGTCAAATTCACTTATCAATTTACTTGTAATTGTATGGATTGCTCTTAATAAATTTGACTTTTCCATAATTTATTTATTCAAGTTCGAAATTGGAAAAGATTCGGGGGTAGATAAGTAGTCAGAGAAGAAAAATCTCAAATATTATGTTAGGAATTCAGCTGAAAAGATAGCATTAGCAAGAAAAGGGAAACAAAAAAAAGTTTCAGACTCCAGCAGTATTCCCGAACAACACCATCTCACTGAAGTAAACGGAATAAGTGGACAAATGGAATTGTTGGATCATTGCTTATATACCATAAAATTAAATTTAAAAAGCCTAATGATGACAAAGTTAAAATGCCCTTACAAACAATGAAAACATTTTACAACTTCCAAATGGACATGCTTTCCTCGCTCTTGTTTTGATGAAAATAAGAATAAAATAATAAGGTTGAGGAAGGAAGGGGGTTTCCGAAATTGGTCAGAGGTTCTGGGCACAAAACCTGATCATCAACAGCGATTCCACGTGGGAATTTCATCTGGCCATTTTGGTATCCTTCGGAACCAAATTGAAAGATTGGATTGCCATTGTGATCAAAGATGCAAACTCGATGATTCGAACTGTCTGTTACATAAATATTTTGGGTTCGTTTATGAACCGCAATAAATTGTGGATGATGAAATTGACCGGTTCCTGAACCCATTGTACCAAATTTGCCAGCAAATTGTCCCTTGCTATCGAATATTTGGACACGATGATTGTCCTGAATTTGCTTTTTCCTCGTCAATTGCACCTTGTTGATGTACCAGTTTAAATTTGAAATTCCTCTTTCAAGCTTAGAATCATTTTTTTACCACCCCTACCAGTTACAATCATCTTAATAGTTTCAGAATATGCCTACAATCATTTTAATCCTGAAACACTATTCTGCACTCAATATTTTTACTTTTTGAGAAAAATACTAATGAACCATTTCTTTCTTACCAAATTCAATTTTCATTCTTCAATTAATCGATAATAATAACTTCCTGATGTGAGGACTAATGACAACTTAGCCTAATAGTTAGTCGTTATAACTTCGTGATTCGCAGGATCGTCCACTTTAGTGCAGCACATTATCAGTGTTATGTCGACAAGTGGTAATTGCCACTTTTCCGTTTAGCCTTAGCATGAATGGCTTCCACTTCATGGATTAGCCAAGCAGCACGTACTTCCATCAAAAACATTTCCGCCGGCTTTTTTATGCATTTGCATAAAAAAATACATTTTTGATCCTATAAGGTCTCGAGAGTCTCGAGAACTGACATCAGTTTCCAAAATGGAAGAAAGCGTCAGATGTATCGCTTATACAGGTATACTTTGCAAGTACAATCAAATGAAATAATGTACAACTGCATCCAGCATTAAGAGTGTACTGCATCCGGACGATCCTGGAAACTCCGAGTAACGACGATGTAACTTAAATATAGTTTTTGTTTGTTTCCAGGTACCTACGTACTTTATCCACAACGTAGATCATTCCCATATCATCGACCGTTACCCCCCACGGATTGTTGAATCGACCATTTGACGGGCCATGTCCACCAAATTTTTTCATGCAATGCCCATTTTGATCAAAAATCATAATTCGATGATTGTAACGGTCGGAAACAATCAGATGTTTGTATCGACCATAGCACACCCCAGCAGCACTATCTAATTGCTCATCACCGGTGCCATATTTTCCGAACATCCTTAACAAACGTCCACCTGTGTTAAATATACAAATGCGGTGATTGCTACTGTCGCATACTGCAAATTCGTTACCGCCTAAAACGGCAAGACCACGTGGCCAATTAAGCTCTCCTTCTTTAGAACCTTTTTTGCCAAACACCAATTTTGGTTTTGCTTTTGCCAGATAATCAACAGTACAGATGAAACGTGGAGCCTGGAATAGACGACCATCATAGGAGCTTTCACCATCTAAAGCAATACTGGACCGTTTACGGTATCGTAATCGGCGATCCTGACTTGATGATGAGGAAGCAGCAACTACCGCCGTATCATTGGTATCGCTATCTTGACGCATTAATAGACCGCTACCGGTCAATCGATTAGAGCGTTCCAAAAGGAGCTGCTGGACCCGACTGTTTGAAGATTGTATCTGGCTAGTAGTATTGGGATTAATATTGTTACTATTAGCATCAGCAGAGGGAAATGCTAGGTTTGCCAGATTACTCTGTTGACCGTTTAAAGCAGTCAGTACGGAAATCAGATCAGGATTTGTCTTGGAACGTTGATAACGTTGACGACGTCTCAGTAACCAGGATGGCAACTGCTCACCTGGATAATGTGTAACTGGAATCGGTAGTGATGACCCTTCAGCGCTTTCGCTCGATAGAAATGTTTCCTGAGCTGCCGAGGAGAGAGGAGTTGGATCGGAAGAACGCTGATGAACAGGCGGTTCTTTGAATTCAGAAGCACTACGGCAAATAATCCGGAAACGATTGCTTGTCTGTTTCTGCTGTATTGGTTCATTCTCGCATTCACTTTCATCACTTGTATTAGCATCCCGATTGCTGCTATTAGCGCTATTGTGGGTAGTACCGCTCAAAGATATCAAACATTTCGGTGATAAATTCTGAATCCGATTAGCACGACGCATTTCATGAGCTGTACGGATGTTTTCAATTTTTTCATTTAAACTTGTGTCATCACTTGATATTTGTCGTGGTAATGGCGGTTTCTTTGTAAATTTCAGTGTTGCTGCCGAATGTTTTGTGGTGGTACCCGCAGTAACATCGATGCTTTCATTTTGATGATTATTCGTTAGTAAAGGTAGTGATGTATGACTTTGATTGTCAGATTTATGGCACTGTGATGCTGTTGCTGCTGTATTTTCAGCGGATATTTCTAATGATCGTTGTGATCGATTTAAATTATTTCTTGAGTTTTGCGATAAAGTATTGCTATCATCGATAGTCTTATTTATTTGATTAATATCCGGCTGCTTAATTTCAGTTGTTGATCGATTTTTAACTACGGCAACTGCTGATTCTGTTGTAGATTGATTTTCATTTAATACCACACCTTTGGGAACAACTAGAAATTTTTTCACTGAATTGTTATCATCTGAGGTGACACTACTTTGTCTCGAACTATTATTGATAGCAGTAGCTGATAAATCTTCAGGGACAGTTTTTGCAGTTGTAGTTGTTAAATCATTTTTTGTAGTAGCATTAGTGGTAGCAATAGATTGACTAGTACCATTTCCAACTACAGTACGACTCCATGGACTGTTTCCTGGTTTATGACAAGTGCCACTACCGATATTTCCAGAGGTGCCAGTATTACTAATACCATTTAGTAATTGGCCAGAATTATCAAATTTTTCCGCTCTCAGTCGATTCCAAGCTTCTTCTTCCATCTGTTGTCGACGACGATATCGAATGGACATCATATCCTCCTCACCAGCATTAACACGCATCCCATAACGACCCGCCGTACCGCGAAAATCGTTTTGGGGACGTCCACCTCCTTCTTCCAAGTCAACCATACGTTTACTGGCATACTTATAGTTGTCCGATTCGTAACCAATTTTCATCGGACGTGGTAGATAGGATTGTTCCAGCGGAAGATAGCGTCCAGCAAATTGCGGTAGCATGACAGTGAGCTCGCCAAAACTCGCAATAGCTGTCGGTAACTTTGAAGCATCATCACCAGGCGAAAAACGTAACTTTTTTGAGAAAAGTTCATCGGCATCAGGCTGAAAATTTGAGACTTGAATTTCTTTTCAGAATAAAAAAAATTGATCGGTTAGCAGAAACAGAAAAGAGCTTTTATAAAATCAAATTACACTAAAAGACAAATAAGAGTGATATCGCAAAACTGAACTGAGATTGATTTCATTTATGGATTACTTCCTGGCCAATGGATATGGTCTGCGTGGACATGATACGCTATTACATACATTATAAGTTGTTGGAAGGTTTTTCTCGTCATTCAACACGATACTACTACAATACTCAAAGTATTTGGGAATGGATTTACTACTTCAAAACCCTGAGAATAGGATAGATTTAAAACAGGAATAAAAGAAAGTATCTTAGTAATCTTGAATTCTATGAACAAAAAAGGATAAAATAATTTTGATTTTTAGGTTATTCTATTCTTTTAGCGATGCATGCTAGTAGTAAAATATTACCCACTTTGTTATCATATTTTTGGATATTATTTGCAAATTAAGAATAAAATGATTCAAAGATTGAATAACGCCAAGCTAAGTAGAGTTAATTTACTTGAAAATTCCTTAAATACTCCAATCCATCCGAAAAAACATTTTTCAATTTCACCAACTCAGAATCCTGCATTTCTCGTTCACCTTTCAATGCTGCCTCCAAATATGCACAGCCTATAACAAAATAATTTTTTTTCCTGCAAATGTGAGATTTTTTTCCTACAAATGTGAGAATTTTTTTTTCTGCAAATAGAAGGAAAACGCTTCTAGAAATTTACCCTAATTTAAAAATTAAGATTGAAGTAATGTAATTATCACCACTACATCTGCGATTTCTCAAATAGAAAATCCAAATAAAAAAAGTAGTAACCAAAAAAATACTGCATACTTCATAGCGTCGGCAGTGACTTTTTTAATTTTGATTGAAGTTTTTTTTTTTTTTTTAAAAAGGAAAATCATGAAAAGGGAAAGAGTCATGTGCTGTTATTTCAACATTTCTCACATTCTTGTTATTAATACGTTAATGATAAAATCGGCAATAGAAATATACGATAAAATTCAAAACCTTCGCTCATATTTGAACTTTCGATTTCGAGTACATCGCGCAAATTACGCATCAGTCGAGTTTCGGTTGCATTAAATGTTTCAATTTCTTCGATAAACATTTCTTCGCGTTTTTTCAATTCTCGATAATAACGACGGAAATATTCTTTGACCTATGGATAAAGTTTTAAAAAAATTATAACGAAAGAATGTCGATAATGGTACTGTGAATTTGTAACTCTCTTCAATTCTTTGGAAATTTATTGTACTGATACCACAAGTTTGATTCAGTTCAGTTACATCTTCTTCAATTTCTTCAACTTAATCATCTTTCCTGTTGATGCTATTTCAAAAAACAGGACTTAAATTAATTGTTCTGCCAACACTTTCAGGTTGAAGTGAAAGGTGAGATATGCTACCTCATCCTTTGCGGTTTCACAATTCAGTGATAACAGTTCCATTCCTTTACTTAAGCCATCAGATGCTTCCGTGATTCGATTTGATAAACGTTTGACCTGAAATATGGCACGTTTTCTGTGCCAAATTACTTCTCAAGTTTTTTAAAAATTTTCAACTTTAAAATCATTGAAAGTTTTAAAGATCTAAAAGTTTCAATATGTTCAGAACATATTGTTTTCAAAAATTATTAAAAAAATAATAGTTTTTGATTATGAATTTTGTAATTACTTTACACACCGACCTCTTTTTTAGTAATGCTCTCTTCTAGTAGGATTAACGATACTAATCATTATATTAAATATTTTTAGGCTTCATTTACTATCTTCAGGACAATCATAACAGTAATAAGTTATTTAATCTGTTAGTATTTCGTTATATAATTTTCATTTACTGTGATTTTAAAGCTAATCTGAAATGTCATAATTTCTTCTATACAGTTTGCATATAAGCAGTGTAAAATGGTTGAAATAAGCACGGCCAAATTGAACCTGATTGAGCATTCTCGTTAGATCACGCTTCAACATCTCTAGATGTGTTGCACGACAATCGCCGCAAGCTCGCTTTTCACAATGAGCGCAAATGTCCAACACAGCTTTTTCTTCGCAAATTTTACATCGTTCCAGATTATACCTATAAACTCTCCAAACTTTTCACTCTAACAAAAATTTCACTATATCTTTAATTATCATTTGATATCAACACTATTATCATTACATTTTGCTCTACAGATATTCATCACGCATAAATGCCACTGTAATAAGTTGTGGCATATAGCCCTCACGCTATCAGCTTCTTCAAACAGTTGTGCGATTTTTGAATTTTCATTTGTGTTGAAGCACCTGTTGAAGTCGTGCTCTCCCTGCTATTAGCGTGATCAGGTTTTAGGCAATCCATTCTTCTCTCCCTATCCTCCCCATCCTCCTCATGTTTCTCAGTTAAACATCTGATACTGTGATAAGAAAGAATGAAAGAAAATGAGGAAAGAGTGACTCTTTTTGTAAACTGCCGTAATTCGATATATTTTTCAGAAGATGAAAATTAATTCTTAGTGGAAATTGAAACGGTGAATTTCACATGGATAACATGAATTTCTAAAAAATTCCCAGAAAATTTCTCCTAATAAAAAACTTTGAAAAAACGACAAAAAACTATCTTCTTCCTATTGCTTCCCTTCCTTTCCTTTTTTAAAAGGATATAAATTATTGGACAATTAAATGCGGAAGTTATCATTTTTTTTAAAAGTATTTCTTCCATATTTCATTCTATTCTCTTCTTGTTTGAGTCAATTTTTTTTCTTCACTTCAACTTTATCTCATCCATCTTGCCTGAACAAAATTTATTCTTTCTTCTCTTTGAACAATCACAATCACTACACATCGCTGATGACACAGTCAAAAGGCCTTTTGAAATAAAAAAAAAAGAACAAACCTCTGAATGTAAGCTTCCAGTTGAGCGGCATTATCGTCTGTCGCTTGCAAATGTATATCCAAAAAACCTGTAAGAGTGTAGTTGGATTGGAAATTTTTGACGCCTTCATACGGTACTGGATGTTCCGCTCTACATTCCGGACATTTCAATATCCGACGAACCACATCAACGCAATTATCCAAACACGGTAGACAAAATGTATGATGGCATGGTAACAGTTTCGGTTGTCTGCAATATTTCACAATGAACATCGAGTTGCACTTTTTTGAATTGAATAAATTAAAAATTTTGAATTTTTTGAATTCAGTTTTTGAAAAAAAAGTTAACGAAGTTATAGATGCAACTGAACTATGAGTCATTCCTTCTGATACTGTTCATTTCTTTGTGATCGATTATATTTTTAGACAAAAGCATTTTGCTTTGTCAGCCGTTCTGCACGGGAAAATGCATTTGAAAAGCATTTTAAATTGAATGTTAGTGATGTAATAAGCAAAGAAGAAGCAAAAAGGCAAAATATCTCAGACTGGGGCCAACAAAGGGGAAGTAAGAAAGAGCGATGTAAAAAAGAGAGATGTTTTTACAAAGTGACGATGAATCTGTTGAAATTATTTAATTAATTCATTGGCTTCTATTTTTAAGAGATTATTTCCAAAAGGAAGTAAAAATGAATTCTTGATCGTGACATAAATTAATTCGAATTATTCACCGCTCGCGCTTTAAGTGGCGATATTCCTGACTTAGTTTAAAAAAGCACTTATCAGATAGTTTTTCCAAAGTTCTTAGCAGTTCATTTATTAATTCATGACAAGACTTTCGAATCATACAAACAAACTGTGATTTGATCACACTTATCACCAGAGAAAAAAAATTAAAACATTCGGCAGAAATGTTTTTTATGAAAACTTCTGAGATTTGTCGAGCGCTAATGAGTAAAAGTTAAATTGTATTTTTTAAAATCAGACTGCATTACAAAAAAACTATTTGAAATACATATTTCTCATCAATTCATCACCCGTATTCTCTAATCATTCAGTGGATAAAATTTTCGAATACTCTACGAGACAAGATTAGATAAGGGATCATAATATCAACCAATCATTCTATTTCATTTTATTACACTGATTCAGGTGGCTGTTCATTTCGACCATCTGGTGATTCATTTTTAAATGCAGTTCATGTAAACCGATGTATATTTATATTTATGTTTATTACACATCGTACTATCACTAATGAACTGTTGGCAATGTTGAATTTTGTGAAGCAACCATTTTGTCACTTTTTCGGTTTCATTAAAATCATAACAATGCTAAAGTCATTACTAAATTACATTGTTCGAAAGTCACAAATAAAATATGCCTAATTCCTATAATCGAATTATGTTACGATGACAACTGAAAAAGAACGATACAATATGAAGTTGAATTATGAGGATATTTCACTTATACAGATAGTTCCAACTTCATTATATACGTTTTCAATTTTTTTCTTTTTACTGATGACTATTTGTATGGATTGAAAAATTAAAGAAGTTTCATTCTCAGGAATATATATCAGACAGTGGGGTTAATTATCAAGAAATATGTGCCAGAAATAGATCACATGATATGAAAATGTGAATTACAAAATTATCATCAAGAAGCTAACAGGAAAATCTATAAAAATCACTTTTGCTAGAGAAAGAGTTAAATATTTTCAAATGGATCTTTCGCTAGAGAAAGAGAATCGCTGGTACTGAGGTCGTATTACGATTGAAGTAAGGAAACACACAGTGAAGAGTTAAAAAAGAAGCACAGAATTATATGAAACTAACTCAATTTAATAAACAAAGAAAACTAGCTCAGTTAATAAGTGATAACAAAAATTTACTACAACTTTAATTTCTAATTTAAATTGGCAAAGTTTTAATTCTTATATTTGATATTAATTAAATATAATGGAATATATTAATAAGAAAAAGGTCTTCAAGCAACTTATACTTTCATCGTTAATTGTCAATAACAAGTTAAAAGATGAATTTAAAGCATTTAAGTCAGAATTCGACTGAAATTAGTAAAAAATTGATTTCTTCAACTTAATTTACGAAATCTTACTTGTAACGATCCAAGCAAATTGGGCATGTTAGCAGTTGCTCAATTTTTTCCAAAGGATTTTCGAATTCAGGTGGTCGTACAGCAGGTGGAAGCAGAAGCATTTGTCGGATAGGATCAAGAGATGTGACATTATTCACTGTTGGCGGTGATGTGGCGCGAGTGTTTGTTGAAGATGAAGCCATTGGATTGAGCAATGCAAAGAAGGCCAAACGTGGTTTTTTCTACAAAAGTTATATAAATTAATTGTTATCATAAATATTACAAATAAGCACAAATATTACTGTAGACTAATCTCTTACTATTTTAAAAATTCAGTGTTTTATATATTGAATAGAAGTAAAATATGAAGTAATTTCAGGCCTTTCTCCTCATGTCCTGCTAGTAAACGATAGATAGATATAAGAGCAAGTTGAAATGAAAGATGGAGGCAGCTCGAATTTGCTCCTCCTGAATTTTTCGTTATGAGTTTTTTCTCTCAACTCTTTGCATGCAGACAGATAAGAAAAGATTGAGATGATTTAAGACTGGACTTGAACTCTAGCACCAGTTTCTTTCCCATCGTCTCCAGCTTTTCTCCCTTCTCTTTCCTCTTTTACTTCAAAACTACTTTCCATTCATTTTTAACACATTTCGATAAAACTGAAAAGCTCAATCTTCCTCTCATCTCCTTTCCATCTCCCTCTCCTCTCTATCTCTCAGTTAACTTTTTGCTTGGAAACTGGAGACATGAAAAATATAGTGAGGAAGATTTTACATTTGCTTTGAAATTCTTTTCTTTCATTTTTATAATCGCATTAATTATTGATCCAACTAATGATATATCTCTTTATATAATAATAGCAATTAAGTATACTTCTCAATACGAGGGAACTTACAGTCTATTCATACAGTAATACATTTTCATCATTTCTACATATACTGCAAAAAAAAGAAAGAAATAACGTGGTGCCTTCATAATTTATCTAATTAATGAATGAACCGCTCATTCCTTTCATTATTTAAGTACAGAAAGTTAAACATATAACACTAAGTAGCACTAACACTTAAACACTCACTGATGTAAAAAAGGCTACACATACACATACACACACATACACACACACATACA